AAGGCTCGTCTACACGACAAGGCATAAGGCGCGGCGCAAGAGCGCAGGCACAGGCGCAAGAGGATTGTTCCCGGTCGTAGGGTCGTGACATAGTGGTGCAAGCGAAATAAAATAATTTTATTTTCAACGCCTGCGCCTGCGCTTTTGCGCCGTGCCTTACACCTTGTCGTGTAGAAGAGGCTTAAAAAGTATATCATGATTTAAATTAATACAACATATTTTTAGATCTATTTAAAGTTTAACGATATTATAATATGCTGATCATTACTTAACACGAAAATATTCTAAACCACGAAAATATTAATACTTTTTTAAAGTTAAGAAATTTTAAGACCGATAGTATGCATAAGCATATAGAATTATTGTATTTTTTACAAAATCATTAGTTTAGATATAAATTTTACATAAATTTATATTTTATTTTCAGCTTTGATATATCATTAAGCAGCCAGGCAATACTACATTACTTTATTCATTATCTGTAAGTTGATCAAAAATATAATGTCAGAATATAAGAAGCATTATATGAGAGCAAAAAGAATGAATTTCCAAGAAGAAGTTTTTTGTGATAGTTTGTCTAAAATTGCGAGATATTCTCCTGAATTAAATAGAAACGTGTCTACAAGTGCTACACAATCAGAATTTTTTGAAAGCAATACTTCAGAATTAAATCTACTGCTTCATAATGAATCTGATGAGTCAAATGAATCTAATGTGTCAAATGAATCTGATGATTCAAATGAACGTCTTCCATTACTGTCTCCAGACTTAATCAATTCTAGTATATGTACGAATATACAACCAGATAATTCAAAAGAAGATATAAAAGTAAATTTAATTCACTGGTCATTAAAGCACAATATTTCGCATACAGCATTAAACGATTTACTAAAATTATTAAAGTTTCATATTCCTGAATTGCCTATTGATGCTCGAAGCCTTTTAGGAACTTGTCGTAAATTTACGAACAAAGTCATTGAACCTGGTCAATATTATCATTTTGGTGCCGAAAATTGCATTAAAAATCTTATACGTCATTCAAGCGATTTTCTTCAAAATATTGACATTATAGAACTTGCTATTAATATAGATGGTCTACCTCTAGCAAAGAGTTCTGCAAGTCAAGTTTATCCTATTTTGTGTCGGCTTATTAAAGATTATAGTAATAATGTTGATATGATTGGTATTTATCATGGCTATAATAAACCTAAAGAGGCTAACTGTTATTTAAGCGACTTCGTAGAGGATATTTCAAAAATTATTAATAATGGAATCGTTATCGATAACAAACATTATTCTGTTAAAATTTCTTATTTTGTATGTGATGCGGTAGCAAAAGCTTATATTACCTATACTGTCGGTCATATGGGTTATTGTTCATGTACTAAATGTCATCAGGAAGGTACTTACATTAATAATCGTGTCTGTTTTCCCAACACAAATCATATGACTTTAAGAACTGATAATGATTATAGATCAAAAACCCAAGAAGATCATCATATCGGTACTAGTTTATTAGAACAGATTCCCGGTCTTGATATGATTAAATCTTTCCCTTTAGATGGTATGCATTTAATTTATCTTGGAGTTGTAAAGAAATTAATAGTAAATTTATGGTGCTTTGGAAAACCTCCCATAAAATTATCATATCGGAATATAACAGATATATCTTCTAATTTAATTAAACAAGCCAAAAATATACCAGTAGAATTTAATCGTAAACCCCGATCACTACTTGAAGCAAGAAGATGGAAAGCTACTGAGTTCAGACAGTTTCTGTTTTACTGTGGTCCTGTTGTTCTTCGAAAAATATTAGATAATGACAGATATATAAATTTTCTTAGTTTACATGTTGCAATAACTATATTAGCAAGTTCCAAATATTCACATTTAATTAATTATGCTTCTCAACTTCTTTTATATTTCGTGAACACATTTAAAATTTTATATGGTGCAGAAAATATATCTCATAATGTTCACAATTTATTGCATGTTTCTGAAGATGTAAAAGTTTATGGCCCATTAGACAATTATAGCGCTTTTCCATTTGAAAACTATTTACAATCGATTTTAAAGTCTATCCGTAAAAGTGAAAAACCATTAGCTCAAATAATTAAAAGAAGAAGTGAACAAAATTCTCATCTAGATAGACGAGTAGAAATAAGAAATAAAAAGTATCCTATTTGTGAAAGGGAACATTTTAATGGTCCTACTATTAATCTAAACATTTGTAAACAATTTAAAAAAATTATTTTACATAATTTTGTGTTACATATAGATCATCCTAATAACTGTTGTACTGTTAGCAATGGAGATATAATTTTAATTGAAAATATTGTTGATTATAATAATAAATTTAAGTTGATTGGCAGAAAATTTTTGACTTTAGAAAATTTCTATACGCGTCCATGCGAATCAAAAGAAATAGGAATTTTTTCTGTTGATAATCTTGGCCCCCTTGAAATATTTAATGTAATGGATATTTCATTTAAATGTGTAATATTAAATTGGGAGGAAAAACGTGTAATATTTCCACAAATACATACAAACAGTAATTCTTAATATTATAATATTAACAATTATTATTATGTTTACTTATATTTTTATTGTATATTATTATGTATACTTATATTTTTTACAGAAAGTTTTTGAAAGTTATAGCAAACGTGTTTGCATAGAATTTTTTTATAAATTACATGTTAAATGTAAATATTTTATTTTAAGTCTATTAAAATTTCTTTTACAATATCTTTAATAATTAAGTTTATTGAAAAGTTACTGCTAATATATTTACACTAAAAAATTAAACATCTATGTATTACTATGAATCAAGAAGACAAAGTGATGTGCTATGTTCTTTATAAGAATAAAAGATGGTATCCATAGAATTGATTAAGAAAAATAGAATAAGTGGACAATTATTCTCTATTATTTCCTTCTTCTTGGATACTAAAATTGTGATTGAAATAGTTACGTCCTTGGAACTGTTTATATTTTATGTGTAATTGCTAAAAGAATATGGGTGAACAAACCTGGACCGTTGTGCAATTCGAAGAAGATTGTTCTGTGGAAGCAGTACCCTCAACATGGATACAGGGGCATTTTTGCTATTGGCCTACATATTCGAAGGACAAATTGATGGTTGCAATTAGGAAGCATGAATATTTAAATACGTGCTGGCCTACCTATAAAATTAAAAGTTTTAGAAATTCTACTTTTAGTAAGTTTTTATATTTAAAGCAAATGTATTTTTAGTTTTCATATGTAATTATATAAAACAAGTTCACAAAAACAGCAAGTATAAGTTTTCTTTTTTTTTTAGATGACTATTCAAAAGCACGCTCAAAAGCATGTATTGCTGAAGTCACGAGTGACTTAAATTCAGAAATAGAAAATAGTACTAAAAGAACAAGAATTCGAAAAATATTAACTTCATCTTCATCAGAAGAGAACTTGCAAACTTCAAAATTACCATCACCACCAACTTTAAAGAAAAAAACTAAAATACATCACAAAAATGTTGAAAAAAGTGTAAAATCAGATTATATTCCACTCAGTCAGTCTACATTCTACGATACAGAAAATAGTAAGTTTACATTTTTTAAAACGCTCACATAGTTAAAATACAATATTATTTTAATTAACATCTGTATATATTTTTATTGTATGTACACTACATATTTATAGTTTGTTTTTCTTTTGATATATCTGTATATGTAACAGTCTAATATTGTTATTAATAAGAAAAATTATAATAAGTATATGATGGTGTTCCAAAAATATAACTAGTTCAAAAAGGTTTTATTACTGAAATATTATTTTACTACAATATGAGTATGTAACTATAAATTTGTAAGTAGTACAACAGCGAATAACTTATTATCTAAAAAGTTTGAACATTTAAATCTAAAAAACAAATATAATTATATATAATTATATATAAAATTATATATAAAATTATATATAAAATTATATATAAAATTATATATAAAAATTATATATAAAAATTATATATATAAATATAATTATATAATAATAATACTGTACAATTTTCTATAGACTTACTATATAAGTAGCAAATTTTTCATTTAAATATAAGGATTTTTATTTTGTGTTATTTTTTAAAACTGCATGAGTGTAATTTTTATATAAATCTTCACTTTGAAATTTATTATACTGTACATTTACCATAGATAGAAAATTATCATACTATAGCAGTTAATGAATTTTGATATATTTATTACCTAATTATTTGTAAAATTAAATTTGTAATAAGCATATAGAGTTTCATATATTTTTATTTTTATTTATGTATTTTATATTTTCAAGACACATTTGTTTTAGATAATTTACTCCCAGATAAAGATGCTGCTTCGTCAAGTCGTGAAACTGATTCAATTAGTAAGAATATTTTAAGTATGTACTTTCTCATTTTGTCTTGTATGCAAAAGATAATTTTAAAAGATTTATTAACAGATATAGATTTAAAAATAATAGAATAAAATTTTTTATTTAAAAAATTATGTTTCATATATTTTTATTTTTTATTTATGTATTTTATATTTTCAAGACATATTTGTTTTAGATAATTTACTCCCTGATAAAGATGCTGCTTCGTCAAGTCGTGAAACTGATTCAATTAGTAAGAATATTTTGAG